TATCGTAAAGGTATCATAATATGAATATTAAGACATAAGATTTTTTCTCACTTAAAAAAAAACAAGTAGAGCCTGTTGAATTTAGCTTTAAAACAAGTTCCTTTTGGTCTATGTGTTATACAAATTACATTAAATTACAACATATTGTGTGTAAATTCCTGAAGAATCAATACTTGTTAAATAATATATTCAACATCCCTTTATGTATCTTACAATTAACTGTTCATTAAAGGAGGTGGGGTCGATGGCTTAATGATTAGCATGTGCGCGCTGTATCATAAGACCTGTCATTGAGTCAACTGGCGTGGTTTCGATTCCCTGGCTGTACGTGGGAATAGGGTCATCTGTCCAGCCTCGTGGGTTTTCTCTGGGTTCTCTGGTTTCCTCCCCCTGCTAAAGACCCCTACGGCAATTTCCTTCTTTTTTTTGAATTCTCACTTCATCATCACAGTCACAATTAACAAAGAAATATTTCAATTGTGGTCAGGTATACTTAATACAAGGAAACAACTGGCTTATCCTGAACTGTTTGGATTTATAGCTGCACACATACACCTGTGTAAAAGTGACAAGAAATCTTGTGGTGAATTGATTAAAAAAGAACTATTAATGATCTTGGATCTTGATAGGAAAGTAGTACCAGTCTTTTTATATTGGGGAAATTTACTGAAATTATTACATTGGTTGAAATTTTTATGTTGACAGATGGCAGGCCTCAATTGCCCTTGGTCTGACACGTAATAGCATCTAGTCATTTGGATAGGATAACAAAAATGGTCCCATGTACACATTAGTGTGTACTTAAAATAACCCCTGTTAGTTGGAATTGGATGGTCAGTAGGCAGAAATATGGTGGAAACTTAAAGTATTTTAAACATAAATAAAAGAAATTACAAATTTTGAAGAAGTTTTGATTCTCTTCATGTATTTGTCCAGATATTGTTAAAAAAAATTTGGACTGAAATATACATGTAATGTACTGATGTGTAAATGGCAAAGAATGGCAAATGTTCAGATTGAGTATGATGTGTGTTATAAATAAATCATGTTAGAAAGTTTTTCATTAAGAAAGCGGGAAACCTCTCACGCAAAACTCGTTCTTTTCTCATCTATGCCTAACGCTCCGTTGGCATGAAATGGTAGTGTACATTGTTATACACACTAAATAGATCTAGGTGTGTCCACACATTAGTATTAATATTAATCTATTATAGAATCATTAAGAAATCATTGCACCGCTCTAACCTATATGATTTATATGTAATAGAGTATTTCTTTTTAAAGCACTGCCTAGCTAATATGTCATACTAAATAATCACTATTGTCCCCTATAAGTAGCTTTAGGCTGATATGTGTCCTTAAGATTGTTTATTGTGACAGTAAAATTAGTACTATACGAATCTGTATGTGATTTTACTGTTATATATTGTGATATATCGGGCTTGTCATTTATACATTTCTATATTTAACCCGAATACCAGTGTGGTCTTGAAATCAAATTCTGTATTACAGGTACAACTATACTACATGTAGGTTGGGAGCCTTAGAGTCCCTCTGTTCACCATTAAAAAAGGAAACAGTTGCTCCGGTGATACAGCACTGCGCAGGTCGGTCCAAGATCCTTTTTGTGCTCCGGTCCCCGATGACTATATATATATATATAGATATATATATATTTTAAAAGAGTTCTCACCGTAAAAGGATATCATACATTCTAAAAGATTAAGTAGAAAATACCATTAAAGAAATTTTATTTAAATGCCTACATGTTTCGCCGTTAGGTTTTCAAGGCAAAATAGATAATGGCGTTACGTCATTATGTTGCGTCATTATGGAGAGATAGTTAAAATAATTTTTCATAAAAATTAAAACGAAATAATATCACTGGTTAAGTTTGGGTTTGAATTATACATTGGATCCACAAATGAATTACGGAATCGTGTGACAGTACATAAACAGCATATAAAAGAGGAAATATACCGCAAAATCCCATTAAGTGGGCATATCGCGGAGTGTGCTAAAAATAAATCGCCACATTTTCATATATTCCCCTTTTATAAACTGTCTTATAATAATGTCACAAATTAAGAGTTAAAGAAGAGTATTTTATAAACAAATTAAAACCCAAACTTAACCAGTGATATTATTTCGTTTTAATTTTTATGAAAACTATCTCTCCATAATGACGCTACATAATGACGTAACGCCATTATCTATTATTGCCTTGAAAACCTAACGGCGAAACATGTAGGCATTGAAATAAAATTTCTTTAATGGTATTTTCTACTTAATCTTTTAGAATATATATATATCTGCACAATTTCATTTAAGTCTGATGAGTTCGAAATGAACGAAATGAGTCGCGTCATGAGAGAAATCAGGGACGGCTACTCGCCACTCGTAGATTTCTAATTTTATTTATACTCGGTTGATCAAAAATCATAGTAAAAACTAGCAATTTTAGGTAGATGTCATTCAATATGGATGATCAGAGGTTTTCATCCTACTTTGGTAAGGGTTTGGGTGGAATGCGTGCACTGTAGTTCAAAACGTCTGTCATTGAGTTAAATGCTGTGGTTTCGATTCCCAGCTTGAGGGTGACAAGGAGTCGGGGGGTGCCTGTGCAACCTCATGGGGTTTATCCAGGTCCTCCGGTTTCCACCCACTTCTCAAATATAAATGAACCATATGTTAGTCCAGAAATGTCCTAGTTTGTTTTGAGTGGACGTTAAGTGCTGTTTGTCTCTCTATCCTTCCTACTTTAGTTTGATCAGAGAATTCCCTCAATCTATCCTATGTAGAGGATCTGATAATCTGGTTGAATACCGGGAAAGATTATGGACCACCCAACTTACTATCTGGTACGAGCAGAGAGTTCTGTCTGTCTAGGTATTATTAGGTTGTATCTTACAATCTTATATCAGATTTTTCCTCTAACCTCTAAGCATTGAAGGGGGGTTGGATGGCTGAATGGTTAGCGCGTGCGGTCTGTATCATAAAGTCTGTCATTGAGTCTGTCAATTCCCCGGTTGTAGGTGACAAGGAGGAGGGTCGTCTGTCCAACCTCGTGAGTTTTCTCTGGGTTCTCCGGTTTCCTCCCTCTGCTAAAGACCCCTACGAGCTAGCGAATTATTGAAATAAATAAAAATTAAACCATATGTTTGTCCCAATATGACCCAATTTGTATCAAGTGGATGCTAAACTCCATTTCTCTCTCTCTCTCTCTCGTATCGGATAATCTGGCTTGATATGCAGAAATAAAAGAGATTTAAGAAACATGTGGCACAAAAATTATCTTTATTCATTCAGGTAGACACTCACAAATTAAAATACAGAATATACCAAATAATTATCATGAAATGAAATGAGGTTTAACGTCCAACTGTTCTGCTCCGAACTGGGCTAATGAAGACGGGCATACGCCATACAGTGTGCTATGAGTGAAATTTTGCCCAGACAGCAGCACTACGGCCTACTTTTATATCGAATTCCAACTGTCAAGGGATCTTTTACTTGCTCGCCAATGTGTACACGGGACCTCGGTTTTTTGTCTCATCCGAAGGACTAGACAGCTGTCCTCGCCTGGCCCTCCATCCTGCATCAATGACAAGGGGGAACCACGCCGGAAAATCTGGATGAACTTTCTCGGCCAATGCAGGGATCGAACACCCGACCTCCAGGCTAGCGAGCCAGTGTCTTACCCACTTAGCCACATGATCCCCAAATAATTCCCATACTGTGTGTGAGGTTGAATCTGATGTTATTGATGAAACAGCTCGGTCAGCAAATATAAATGATCTTGTTGACATGGAGTTTTTCTAATTCTTCAAAAAAAAATGTTGTCAAGTGTAAGTCAATCTTTGCTGGCAGAGAGAAATCATTACCATAATTACTTGTAAATGCATTTAAAATTGTTAAGAAGTGGCGAGACATTTGACCCAGTTTACTGTTAGGTTTATTTATACACGCTTTTAGATTATCTGACCTTATCCCATTATAGGGGTTTGACATTTTAATTTACGCCAGTAATATGTCAGACGATATACACATATGTATTTTATATACACATGTATTTGGTGCTTTATTTTCTAGTTAATAAGATACACTTTTTTTTACCACGATTGTTTCTGTTCTGGATGATATGTGTCATATAAAATCCTTGAGAGAGAGGGTTTAACAGTTTGAACTTGACACAAACTAGGTCATTTTGAGACTAACATGCTTTATTTTTATTGCAATTATTTGCTTGTGCAGTGGTAGGAAACCGGAGGACCCAGAGAAAATCCTGAGGTTGGAGAAGTGACCCTACTCCTTTGCATGTTAAAGTGGAGAATCAAACCAGACCACTTGACTAAATGACATACCTTATGATCTAAAGCGCATGCATTAAACCATTTGGTCCCCCCGCCCTCCTACCCTCCCCCCCCCCACCTTCAAAATCAAATTACCAGATTCATCAAAATTCATCCAAGTTCATCAGAGAATAATCATTGCACTTTTATATATTCCACCAAATAATCTATGAACATTAGAGTTGAAATCTATTTTTACGACTAATACTCTAATCCAGTGATTCTCAACCAGTGTGCCGCGAAATTTTGAATCGCACACTAAGAAAATGTGATAACCCAGGTGATCCCAATTGAGTATTCACTGATATCTACTGGTATGTTAATAGCTGTATTTTTTTTTGAGTCATTCTATGTGTCTATGACTAGATAATCTCTGTTTACAGTTGTATTCCATCAGACTTATCATGTTTTTTTTGTTTTGTTTTTTTGCAAAATTCAAATATTTCTCATATATATATTGCGCCAGGTGTGCCGCTATTTTTTCATGTGTTCCAAGGTGTGCCGTTGGCAAAAAAAGGTTGAGAACCACTGCTCTAATCTATTGCACCAAGAATCTTACTAATTGATATTTCTGCAAAAAGAAATTTTGGGCACCTGAACCAGTGCCCCATCTTATCACCCAAATCCAATAGTCCTGTACTTTTACATCCTAAGTCATTTACGTATAATTGTGTTTTGGTATATTTGTCAGGCTGTATCTCAAGAAGCAGGACCAAGTACAAGTACAAGTGATGCCAATAAAGCACTCTTCTTACAGAAAGTCAGAGAAAGCAATGAGGCCATTAATAATGGAGATTTTCTGCAAGCCATACAGTTATATTCAGATGCCATTGCTCTTGATCCAGCCAATCACATCCTCTTTACCAATCGCTCAGCTGCTTACCTGAAAATAAACCAACCACAGAAAAGCTTACAAGATGCACAAAAAGCCAGGCAACTTAATCCAAAATGGGCCAAGGTAAGTGATACATGTATTAGTATTCAGTTGAACTTCAAAATCTTGATAAAGTGCCATCTTCAGAATCCAGAAAATATGCTTCCTGGAAGTTCATTAAGAAAGTTTTCAGTGTATATTTTTAAAGATAAACTTTAAGTGGCATTTAGCAATTAGAAAACACATTACAAGAACACAATTTTTATGGGAAACAATCACTGGTTTTATTCTAAAAGCAGGTACGTCACTGTGATTTATAACGATAAGAGGATATTTGTGGAAATGTCGTGCTTTAGAATAAAACCAATGATTGTTTCCCATATAAATTGTGTTCTGTTAATATTTTTAATGAGGCTAACTAGACCTTTATATAACTGTCATCCAAAATCTATGTCCAATGTTATTAATCTTCCTTCCAGTAACCTTTACCCAACCGTTGAATTTATGCTGCCTTAAAGACCATATAGATACATATAGTTGTTGCCTGGCAATACCTGTTTTTAAAATGAATAGCATTTTCAGTTGTTATTTCGTACAATGTCCCATTTAAATATTTATCAACATAATACAATAGTGCATTGATTATTTATCCTGAAAAACATCAGTCATTCCACTTATTCGGAAATTACTTGGATCACCGAAGAAGATTATATACACATTAGGTTACATGTCTGCTCCAGGTATCTTAACAATTCTTCCCGTTTACAAAGGATTAATCCCTTTAAATCTATATAAATAAAATCAAAGTGTGTATATATGTATGTTCGCCCATCACCCCCACATATGCATTATCAAATTAACCAGCATGACCGTCTGGGAATGTTTTAGGCCGATGAATTTGGGCCCCGGGTGAAATGGGCCTGAATCTGGGCGAATTATGTTTCATCGCCGCTCTCCACCCCTACATATGTGGTATCAAATTAACCAGGATGACCCGTGCGAATTTGGGCCCCGAGTGAATTTATGTCCTGAGCAAATTGGACCCTGGGCGAAGCCGGATATCCTGCTAGTAACAAAAAAAATTTGATTTTAATTTCATATTGAAAACAAGTTTAAACTTACCTAATTTTTAAAGATGCCAGCAATTTGCACAGCCATTTGCAGTGTTCCATGAAAACTTCTATAGTGATTCGTTAAACATCAATGTTTCAGAAATGGCTTAATAAATCAGTCCAAAATTTTGCATGCAATCTAGTTTGAACACCCCACCCCAATTGCCAAAAGCGCAAATGCATCTTTAAATTTTAGTAATAATAACAATATGGTTCAATTTGTAAAACTCCAATCTTAGGCCTTTCAAAAATTTCATCAGTGGAATGAGAATTTAGAGGATTCACAGATAAATGTGCAGGTGGTTTTGGGCACATGATCTGTTTCTACGGCTCACTACGCAAAAATTCCAACCATGTCAGGCTTTAAAAAAATTGTTGAAGTGGTACATTTGATTACACGGTGGTGTAACTCTGCAACGCTTTCAATGAGAAATTTCGTAAAAATAGCATCCAAACAAACATCCGTTTGGCACTTCTCTGTCGTAAATCAATACAGAAATTCCATAACCCCAAACTAACATATAATAATTCTTCTCTGCCACAGATAGATTTCAAATTCATCATGTTTATATACATTATTTACAAAATTATAAGTTCAATGTACCAAGAATGTGTCGATTTTTTAAAGAATAATATAAGTTTTGTCCATGCAGATTTTGTTCACTTGCGAAAGAAACATTTTTGGGGCAGTTGACGCAAACTCCATCGTGGTAAGATATGATCTTAATTCAATAATAATGCTGTGTTAGATGTTGACAGACAGGCTAATATTATTTGAGTTAAATTTATCATGTTATTTGCTCGGCCCACCAATCTGTTTGTTAAACAATACAACATTAAGCTTTTGCCCCCACCAAATTTGTTGTTAACGGATCATCTTGGTATGTCTTTGTCTGTGTTCTGTGCTGTATGGTACATGTATTTAGAATGTTCACGAACTCCCCAATAAATATTGTGATGTCTTCTTTAATTTATAAGCTAATGATGTACTACAATAGATTACTAATTAACCAATACAATAAATTAAACAATACAATAAATAAAACAATACAATAAATTAAAAATATTACATTAAGCTCCCCCCAAACCACAATTGTTGTCAATTGACCATCTTGGTATGCATTGTTTGTATTTTTGAAGTATTTATAGGGTATACTCATGAAGTGGCTATAAACATTGTGATGTTGTCTTTAATTTTATAAGTTAATAATGAATTGCAATGGACTACTAATTAGCCAATACAATTATAAGCCTTCCCCTGACCAAACTTGGTATGCCTTTGTATATATATATTGTGGCTATAAATATTGTGATAAGATTTTATTGTATCAATATGCCCATTAAGAGCAACATAAATATATTATAAAAAAAAAAAAATAATAAAAATAGCAAAATCGAACAAAAACATTTGATGTAATAAAGGAGAAATACACATAAACATGACATTTCAAATATAACGAACTTCATTATTGTGATGTTTTCTTTAATTTATAACTAAGTATCTTGCAACGGACTACTAATTAGCCAATACAATTAAACAGGACTAAATTTGTTATCAACGGATCTTCTTGGTATGTCTTTGTTTGTGTTGTCAGGAATTTATAGGGTATATTCGTGAAGTGGCTATAAATATTGTGATGTCTTGTTTAATTTAGGAGCTAATGATGTATTACAATGGACAACTAATTAGCCATTCTTGACTCGCTTGATGCATTAGTTACTAGTACAAATACATGTACCTGAATACCGACACAAATGTGTTTTTTGGATATCTACCCTTTCATTAGCTTTACGGCTTGATTTTATTATGCCAGGGACACACTATGTGGATTTTATTCGCTTTTAGTTTGGTCGAAGTGTCTGCTGCCGAAGTTAATCAGGCAACACAGCTATTCGCTTATAGTTCGCTTATGGATACACAAGGCAAATGCCTATGCCAATTTCTTTGCAATAAAGTTGCTTGAAATTTAATTCACGCATGTGCCGATGTGATTTGGCTACATAATATAGGCGGCGATAAATATTCTGGGGATAAATATGTGTTTGATGTATAAGCAAATGGTGTTGCGAATCTCGCAGGTCCAGAAACACTAGATGGAAATTTGCTGGCGGAGGAGGGTTCGTCCGTATGATTCGCTGTAAAAATTCGCCAAGAGTGTCCTATGCATAATTTGCCAATCTTAAATGCCTTGATTCAATGATAGACCTTATGATCTAAAGTTCATGTTTTATAGACCATTCGGCCACCTTAATTCACCTGGTAAACAATGAGCTCAGGATGTTAATGATAGTCTTCTTGTTTCAACTAAAAACATGATTATATAGGTTACTTACCTTTTTTGAATTTTGGGGGGGGGGGGGGGTGGTGGATGGCTGAATGGTTAGCGTGCGCGCGCTGTATCATAAAGTCTGTCATTGAGTCGACTAGCGTGGTTTTGAATTCCCGGTTGTACGTGACAAGGAGTAGGGTCGCCTGTCCAACCTCGTGGGTTTTCTCTGGGTCCTCCGGTTTCCTCCCACTGCTAAAGACCCCTATGCGCAAGGGAATTATTGAAATAAAATTAAACCATATGTTAGTCCCAAAATGACCTAGTTTGTGTCGAGTAGACGTTAAACCCCATTTCTCTCTCTCTCTCTGTTTGATTTTGTGATGAAGGATTAGATATTATTTTTAATGTCGGTCACACAATTAGAAAATTTGACATTGATTTAATTTTTATTTCTAATATCCGTTACAATTTTTTTGTTTTGGCTCTCTGACAATCTGATTAAAATGGGACGGTTTTTTTTTTCCATTCAGTTTTAATTTTTTGTTGATATGGACCAGATCGATGTACTCTATTGCTGTTAACAACATAAATATTTTTAATTAGATTAGCTCTCGGACTTCCGACATAAAAAGTTGACAGCAAATATCACTTGTTGTGGCTAACGACAGGGGCTGCAATTTGTCACTTATGATAAAAAAAAAATAATCCACATCCTTGAATATCTAAAGTATAGTAAAGTTGTACTATAGCCAAGACCAAATTTACCCTCATACATTAAAGAACTACAGGTACAAATTTGTCATGAATAAACAGCTAGCTGACCTTTCATAGAAATCGACCACCAATTGATTACTCATAGATATTTAAATATATTTGTGACAAATAGAACGGCAGGGTGTTTCTTATTGTGTATTTTTTTTAGGTTGTTTCTAAAGGATAAAGTACATACTGTGGTAAAGTGCTTTATTTAAGGTCAACAACTGTATGAGTACTTCGAGACATATGCACTTATTACTAACTTTTTTTATATGACATTTGGAGCCGCAGTGACTCAGTGAGTAGGACGTTGTCTTTCTAAACAGTAGGTTCTGTTTTGGATTCTGGTGTTGGCGTGATTCCCCTATGTCAGTGGTGTAGGATGGAGGGCCTGGCTATTCACAAGGTGTAGTCAATTGCCATGCATGTTAAAAAATCCTTAAGAGTTAGAATTTCCCTCATAGCTCACTGCATGGTGTATGCGCGTCTTCATTATCCCAGTCGTTGCACAAAAGTAGAATGTTATCCCCATTGGGGGGGGGGGGGGTGGATGGCTGAATGGTTAGCGTGCGCGCGCTGTATCATGAAGTCTGTCATTGAGTCAACTGGCGTGGTTTTGAATCCCCGGTTGTACGTGGCAAGGAGTAGGGTCGCCTGTCCAACCTCATGGGTTTTCTCTGGGTCCTCCGGTTTCCTCCCACTGCTAAAGACCCCTACGCGCAAGCGAATTATTGAAATAAAAATTAAACCATATGTTAGTCCCAAAATGACCTAGTTTGTGTCGAGTGGACTTTAAACCCCATTTCTCTCTCTCTCTCTCTCTCCCCAGATTGGGGGCATTGGTTGTTTTTAAGAATCTTGGGAATAAAAAATCCATTGTTTGAATTCGGAAATGGACCTAAAGGAACCTTCTGGATTTTTGATGCCTAGTTCCACTTGTCAGATACGGACAGGGAAAGTGTGCCATACGAGACTGACAAGGAAAGTGTGCCATCCAGTATTTGTTAGAATTAGACACATTGGTATGCATGTAAGAGGTCTCTTGGCAATTCGAATTAGATTAAGGATAGGCAGAAATGCTGATGTCCAGGAAAAATCATATTCCTGACGCAATGGCCCGAGAAATCCCTCTCTGGCCATTGCTGGATTAGCTTCTGATACTTGCGCTTTTGAGGGGGTGTGTCTATTCTTCCCGTTCAATCAAATCTATCCCCAAGCACAACAACATGCCAGTCCTTCCTTTAATCAGGGGCCTTCCCTAAAACTTTGGACAGTGATATAAGGTATTAAAAATGATAGCCTCGTTTGTCACACAATTAGTTTTTCTGCAATATTCTGCTATGCACTGGTTAATTGGGCGTAATAAAATCGTGAGTCATGACGTAACATTATGTAAACATATTTCATCCAATTTGGAGCTCTGTTTGGTATTGTTACGCAGTTAGCTATTGGTTGTTAATCGGACTATTGACCAGTCATAATTTAGAACAAGAATTTGCCTTCTTTACAGCAGTGAGTAGTGGGATTAGCTCTAATCAAACGAAACACTGCGAGAAGTATGAGGAAAAATAGGAGTGATAAAAAGATGAAATTTTCAAAATAAAAGAAGACTAAATTTTCAAGATAAAAGAAGCCTTTTTTTCAAAATAAAAGATGACTTATTTTCAAAATAAAAGAAGGACTTATTTTCTTAACTGAAAGGAATATTTTCTATAGTTATAATAATCATACACCTCTGTCCATTCATCAGATTTCTAACCTTCAGCTCAGTAGAAGAGGATCATGTCTATGCACATTCATTGGACTTAATGAAATATTGTTAGTAATGGAATGAATAAATAAAGCATTTGTATTTTTATAAGTCCTTATCAAATCATGAATGTTATTTAGCCGGAGGGCGAGATTATATTTATATACATCTGTGTTTTTGAAGATGGGTAATATGATTAGTACTTGATTCTTTCAAGTTATGCATGACTGCTGTTTGATAATAACCAGTCAAATAACTCTGATCCTGTGGACATTCCTTCACTATTGGCAGTTACAGCCCTATTACAATATAGCAATTACCTATAATAGATCAATATTATCCTTTGTCTAGTATTCTAACAGTATGTTTATTATAGTAATTACTGTTATTAAGGATAATATTAAGACTAAGTATTTATTATCAGATTTCTAACTGACATGTATTGAGGGTAATAAATCTTATTAGTGGTGAATACAACAGTGTAAGGATAGTGTTTCTCTTCTCTCATTAAATTACAGATTAGAGATTAAAGGGTTTAAAATTTAAGATATTTTGTACTCTGAATTATACCATCGATGGGCCCAGTATTTGTCAATGTTATTTTATGAGTATTAAAGTCTCTCATTAAACTACAGATTAAAGATTTTGAGGGTTTAAGATTTATGATATTTTGTACTCAAAATTATGCCGTCAAGGGGTCCAGTATGTGACATTTTTTTTCTCCTCAGGTATTTCATGAATATTAAAGACCCAACATTTCCTCATGAATGTTAATTATAGAGTTAAGACCAAACATAATTAAAACTTCTGTTATTAATAAACAGTTTGATCCAAATATTGAAATTGATCATATGTTTCTATTGATTTTGGACGGCCATCTTTATGTGTCATAGATAAATGAAGTTAAGTAACAATCATTTTGCTAGCCAACAATTGGAACGATATTTATATGCTAGATCGAGATTGATGGAAATTATGGCCATGTTTTGAGTTTCTTTGACTGATTGCAAATTGCGAGCCATTGATAATGAAAATTAGTACTGAAAACCTAAATGTCAAATCCAGTTTTTACCTCTTATGTGATTTCCCACAAAAGACAGATCTGTTCAATGGCAATTGGTATTAGCATACCTTGCCTCATACACAGGTCTATTACTTATGTCACATACCCTTTACAAATTCGATTTCATATCAACTAGCAATAAATTCTGATTATAAGGGAGAGAGAAATGAGATTTAACATCCAGTGAACACAAACTAGGTGATTTCAGGACTAACATAATGTTCAATTTTATTTCAAAAATGCACTTGCATGTAGGTATCTTTAGCAGTGGGATCGGATGACCCGAAGAAAACCCATGAGGCTGGACAGGCGATCCTACTCATTGTCATGTTCAAGTGGGAAATTGAAACCACGCTACTTGACTCAAACCACTAGACCACCCACCCCGCCCTACCCCAATTAAAAGTCCAAACCAATTTTATTTTTAGATTTTCATGGTTTTGATGAATAGAATAGCCAATCAATATCATGAACAATGTTTTTGTTTAAAATTTCAAAATTTGGAACTTAAGGCTTTTAAGAAGAGGCACCAAGTACTTTCTCATTTTAAATTAGTTTTTTTCCCAAAGAAATAGGAAGCATAAATTTTAATAGATATTCCCAGGGAACAAAAACTTAAATAAGTGTGGTCTAAAGATTTATTTATAGAAAAAACTTATAAACTTTAGCTTGACATACATGTACATAGGTTGGTCAGGTCGTACACACGTTAATAAATTAAGCTTTAACCCTTTCAATGCTAGACGTAAATCCACTGCCTGTGCTAGACCCTTTTTTGAGGAAAAAAGGGAGGTTGGAACTGAATGCCAAGCAGTACTTATGGAAGCTTTTATGAAAAATCTTTTTGTCTGTTGGGATGGGCATGAGGTTGGGCTAAGAGGAAAAAATAGAATTTTGGAAATTTGCATAATAATGTAGTCACGTGACGTCATGGCGGCCATTTTGGATTTCTCATTTCACACTAAAGCTAACACGAAAACGAATTTTTCTCCATGAAATACTTAAAAGATATTGTTTTTTTTACTGGATTTTGATAAAGATATATAAAATGAACAAAAATATCAATAGCAGCCATGAGCAATGCCGCCACGAACACGCGCATCTCGTCTCCCGCTGCCATGACCACGTGCGGATTGCAATACCGTGTTTTTACTTTCACTTTCACTTTCATCCCCAAGTCCCATATCATTATCAATATAGTCAGTCAATAGATCTACACGTTCGGGAATCAGGAATTACCTACGTATTTTACGATCCAGCAGGCCAGCATTATTATCAACATCAGAATTATTGTCAGAATCTACTGCAGACACAGGGCTATCGTGTTCACATTGGGCTTGTTCATCATGCACGGGAGACATAGCTAGCCATGGGCGGAACGTCGCGCAACAAATCACACACTTCATAATACCAATCAC